GAAGGACAGGAGGCTCGATGGCCTGTGTTAGTCCTGGCAATGGTGGTCTCTCAGTTGATCCAACTTTCTTTTGAAAGAGTCGACGGATGGAGCCTCAACCACGTGCTGAGGTAGTGAATTCCACTCGTTGATGATTCGATGGGAAAGTCGATAGTCAGCTGACAAGTAATTTGTTCCCGGCTTGTGAACTTTTTTGGAGTGTCCTCGTAAATTCTCTGTTTTGGAAGACAAGAAAAATGAGGGCAATTTAGGTGCAAATTTATCACTAAGCAATTTGTAGACTGTAATCAAGTCGCCTCTAGTTCTGCGATATGACAACGGGAAAAGGTTCAGCTTGGCCAGTCGAGATTCATACGGAAGCTTCGCTATTCCGGGAATCAGCTTAGTCGCCGTTCTCTGAGCCTTTTCCAGAAGCTCACTGTCGTTTTTTAAGCAGGGGCTAGCCGCTTGTATGCAGTACTCAAGTTTAGGACGAACGAACACTGTATACAAAGTCAAAAACGTCTTAGCGTCGACATGACTAAAAGCCCTACGTATTGACCATAACATTCTAAAACCTTAAGCGGCTATTGCACGGCAGTGTGCAGTAGTCTTTAAGTCTTGACTAACGATAACTCCTAAGTCATTATATGTCTGGACGACAGGTAGCTCAGTGTTATTCATCGTGTATGTATCTGTGCCTTGATGACCGATATGCATCACAACACACTTGGAAGTATTTATCGGCAACTGCCATGTTTGAGACCATTCAGATAATTTCTTCAGGTCATTTTGGAGTTCTGAGCTATCACTCTTACATCGTATCGTTCTCCATATCTTGACATCGTCAGCATATAGCAAGACCGATGATGATAGGAGACAAGGAAGATCATTTACATACAAGAGGAATAGCACTGGCCCCAAAACTGTACCCTGGGGCACTCCACTAAGCACAGTTTCCCAGCTAGATAACTTTGAGTTCACCCGAACTCTTTGTTGACGCCCAACTAAGAAGTCTTTTATCCACATCAATAAATTGCCTCTAATCCCGACATTTCTTAACTTATATAACAGCCGGTTGTGCGGAACTTTATCAAAAGCTTTACTGAAATCAATGAAGGCGACGTCTACAGGTAGCTTTTGGTCCTTGAGAGCACACCAGCTTTCACGAGCCACTAATAAGTTAGTGAGACAAGAATAACCTATTCTGAAGCCGTGCTGCTTCTCCGAGAGGATCCGGTTTTTATCGAGATACTTAAACAGCTCCTTCCGAATAATCTTTTCTGAGATTTTAACAACCACACTAGTTAGGCTAACGGGGCGGTAGTTCTCAGGTTTGTGTTTCGTGCCTGTTTTGAAGACAGGACTTACTATGGCGTTTTTCCAGTCTTTTGGTAAATGACTCTGCCTAACGGATAGGTTAAAGCATGTACTTAAAGGGCTTGCAACGAAGTTAGATAATTCCTTCAGTAGCCTAGGATGTAATTCATCGGGCCCCATGGATTTACCTATGTCAAGCTTATTTAGCAGACCAAAGACATCGAGTTCTTTAATGGTCACGCTATCCAGTGTATGTATGGGGGGATCTGTATACGCTGACGAGAAGGGCGCTTTTATGGTATACACGTTGCTAAAGTAGTTCGAGAACGCTTGAGCCTTACCAAAGTCGTCCTCCACTAATGATGAAGCAGTACTGTCTCCCCATAGAGCAGGAATATTTCCTTTTCTCCTTGTCCTTTGGTTTATATAGGAATACAAGCGTTTAGGACATTCTATGGATTCCTTAACAAGTTTTTCTTCGTACAATTTTCTAGACTTACGGGGGGTCGAGGCACAAGTGTTCCGAGCCTTTCGATACTGAGTTTTTGACTCATCAGTCCTCAGTAACCTAAATCTATCCCACATTTTCCTTTTCTTACGGAGAAGGATACGGACCTCCCTACTGAACCATGGTGGTAAGTTTTTCGGCCCCTTTGGTATAGTCCAAGGGATGTGAGGTGCGGTAACTTTTAGGTATGAATTTCGAAATGTGTCCCAGGCCGTTTCAATGGAGGACTCTGGGTCTATTGTCCAATCTATTAACGATGTTGAATGCATGATGTCTGGTATGTTTGCTTTCCAGACGTTGGGTCTGGACTGAACTGACGCGTCCTCATGACTGGCAGTTATATGGAAGTCGAAAGTTAAAACTGCGTGGTCACTTTTACCTAGGGGTGGCATATGATGGAGGTTCGCAACATCATCCTCATAGTGAGTCAGTATAAGATCTAATAAGGATGATTCAGTGTCCGGATCGTACCTTGTCGCTTCTTTCACATGTTGCACTAGAGCACATGTGATAACTCCATCAACTAGTTCCTGCTCGAAAGAATTCTCCGACGATTTAGTTCGCAGATTTTCCCAGTCTACCATAGGTGCATTAAAGCCCCCTAGGATTAGACATCGACCACTTTGGGACCAAGTATTGAGACTGCTTAACAGGATCTCATTTGCCTCACAGCTTGGACTGCGATAGACCAAACCAATCAGCAGCTCTTGTCCCTTGCATTTTAAGCGAAGACTAACTAATTCGCACGTCCCACTCTCATGGGATACACTATCGATAATGGTAAATGGGATAGCATTCCTAATGAATAGAGCTACTCCCCCTCCTTTGCGCTTTTGTGTTCTGTCGGCCCTTACTAACGTAAAGCCCTCGAAATCAAGTTCCACACTATCTATAGCCTGTGTCAGCCAGGTTTCTGTTACTGCGATTATATCTGGCTTTGTAGAGTCAATCTGTACACCTAGTTCCGATCGCTTATTAAGTAAGCTTCGTGCATTGGTGTAACAGATCCGAAGCCTCTTTAAGTACCTACGTGCTTCACCCAGAGTGGCTTCGGCATCATTCTCTGTCGAAGTCTTACAACCCGAAAATTTACAATTTTCAGGTCCTTTTCGCCAGCGTCTAACCTATGTTGTAGTTCTTTCTCGGCTTCCCGTCTTTTAACACGGTCTGCCAACGGTAGGTCCTTTCGGATAAAGACTCCTGAACCCTTTAATTTGTGTCCATTTTGTAAAATTAGGTCACGTTCGTTCGAAGAGCCGAATACTACTTTAAGCAGTCTGGAATGATTTGGTTTCGGGTCCGTTAGACTCCCTAGTCTGTACACCTTTAGCAAGGTGACCCCGGTCATATTTTGAGGCATGAGTTGATTAAGCAGCTGCCTAATCAGTACAATGTCATGCTCAAAACGAGCTTTAGGTTCAGAGCTATCGCTCTCCTTGATTCTATGAAAAATAGCTGATCTGTCGCTATGATCAGCTTTCGATTTTTCAACCACTTTTACGGGGGCAGGTTTCCCTTTTATATCAATACTTTTCTTCCTTACAACCTTTACCCATTCGTCAACGGTGCTGGTAGAAGCAATAACAGTTGCGTCAAACCTAGTGTTGGGTTTTGGGGGGATGTCGACGACCTGAGGGGTCGTGTTATGTTTACCGTTTGAAACCGATCAAGCCTTGCGATTGCGGCTCCTAGGTGTTTCCTGTTGGATCCCATCTGGGAGACGGGGAACAGAAGACCCTACTTTTCTTGAGCTTTTTTTCAAGGCAGGCCTATTTGGAGACTGCTTTTCCTTCTTTGACGGGCGTGAGTCATCTATCACCGGACTAACCTTAGTTTCCTTCACGTTGATTTGCGTGTCGACAGACCGAGTGCTGTTTGACGCGTTCCGACTATGCTTGCTAAAACACTTCTTTGCAGCATCAACCAGTGAGATGGCCTCGGTTAGCAAGCTGTTTGCATCCGAGCAGCACTGTTGACAAAGCCACACACAACCCTTCTTACTGAACCGTTTGAAAGCAGCAGGCGTTAAGTTCGTGCAAACTTCGTGGTACCAGCCTTTGCACTCGTCGCACTGCATGCCGCTTTCAACAGGATAACGACAACCCGGACGTTGACAACTGCTTTTTTTACACTGTCCGGTCATTTTGGAGGGGTTCTTTTTTAAACTGTGATGATACTCAGAACAAAAAAATTTTATCAATGACCAAAAGTGAAGAGCTGTAGATTGCTAGGACCAAAAGTACTAACAGATACATTTGAAAAAGAGGTACTCAAGAGTACCAACGACAAAACAGTAAAAACGATACTTTAGTCGAATACTTTAACTGGAATAAATTCAATTAAAGTGGAAAACAGTAGTCTTGATACGTGATAAACGATCAAAACAAAGAAATTTACTCAGCGAGGAAAAATACCACTGTCCTTTTTAAATAGCGCGCGAGGTTGATCCAACGGCGAGCCACGAAATTAGTCCGGGGACTCATTCAAACCTTATGAAGAGCGCCTCCAATCACTTAACCTTTACCCATTAGAGTATAGGCGTCTTAAAGGTGACCTTCTGATGGCTTACAGTACCCTTAGCACTCCTGGACATCCCCTTAAACGCCTAATTAAGCTTAGTCCCAATACAAACCCATAAGGTAACACCCGGAAAGTGGAGATACAACACAGCAGAATGGACTGTAGACACAACTTCTGCTCCTTAAGAGTTGTCAAATGCTGGAATTCGGTGCCGACCGAACTATTCCAAGCGACTTTCCAGGAGTCCTTGAAGAGGAAACTTGACCTATTCTTAAAGACTAAGGATATTATCTTATCATGAGTTACCAATTTCTTACCTAGGTTCCTGCCTGGAGGTATTGGTGATCTCCTGCTACTACACACGGAAGCCTGTTAAGCGAAAGTTTCTTCTATTCCGTCCACAACTACTTGAACCATTTGAACACCACCAACCCCGAATCCTTCAAATACTATATGCCCGCTCAGAGCTAAGCCGCTCAAGGTCGTGGAGGCATTCTTGAACTGGTCTCTTCGGTCGTGGCATCATCCTATTTTAGGCAGTCAGTTTGTCTTATTTTCGCTCGTGTTGTCTCTATTTTGTGTCGATCGTCTTCGTAATTTTACGTCGGTGAACCTCCAGGACAAACACGCTTTACAGAGTCCAGAAGTTGTGCTGTCTCATTGTTTAACTTCAATGAGTCTACTCGATAGTTGGAATTCACCTAAATACGTTTTAGCACCTATGGTTGATGGCAGTGAACTTGCCTGGAGGATGCTCGGTCGTAAATATGGAGTTCAACTAACTTTCACACCCATGATTAACTCGACTGCATTTCTCATTAACATGAAATACCGCCGAAGTTGCTTGCAGTTCGCCTCAGAAGACCGACCACTTATTGTTCAAGTGCGCATGTCCGAAAAAATTATTACTTTCGTTTCAAGTTTTGTGCTAATTCTCCAGATACATTTGTTAGGTGTGCTAAATTGGTGCAGCCCTTTTGCGATGCAGTCGACCTGAATCTCGGTTGCCCTCAAGGAATTGCTAAAAGAGGGCATTATGGTGCGTTTTTACAAGATGAGTGGAATTCTCTCAAGGAGATTGGTAAGTCCAATTCAAAAACGTGTTTTTTAAATGGCAATTAACGTTAATAAGATAAGCTCCATAATTGTGTAATGACCAGAGTAAAATTCTATCTGGGTAACTAATCAGAACGACTCATATGTTTTTCTAACCCTGGATGTTAAGTGTGTTCCACGAAGCGCACGTTAGTGTGCGATGCCTTTCACTCACTTTACTTTTTGGAAGACATCTTCATCTTATCCTTTGGCTTATAAAAAGGTACGTTATATTAAGTCGTTGGATTTTCAAAGGTTGACAAAATGGTAATGTGTGGCGATTTAACAGTGCAACCATCTGTACACCGAGTAACTATTGTCCTATAGATTCGCACTAGAAGTTCAACCATTCTTGATAAAACCCTAAATTGTGTCAGGTTTGAATCATTAAAATAGCTAGAAGTGCAGTTTAGTTGTCAAAAAGCTGCTTCGGTGGTTTAAGATAGTTCATTACTCCACAAAATTGGTTCAGGTCGTAGTAGGTTGAAACAATTTAAACACCTTAAGCCTGAAAAAAGTTATTATCAACTAACGCAGTCATTTTTTTGTAAACTCTGTTATTCTGTGCTCGTCCATATTTTGGGTTCTGTCTGAAAATAACTATTTCATAAGTTAAAGAATAGCTAAGGATATATATGCTCTAGATCTAGTTATTTCATGAAAATATTAGCCGTATTTCATGTTTATAATTGTCATTTATATTCTTAAAGCCTGATTTCGCGTTGATGTAGTTAAGTATAAAACCATTTGGATATTGTTCAAACTTCTAGTCATGTTTATTATTAAATTTCTTAATAACTGCCTCGGATAACTTGGTTTCCAACATGTCTACTAAACTTGAAGCACTACGACGTTCATTAGATTTAAGGAGGCTACCGAAATCTACTTGATACAGTATCTATGAATACTCGACCATAGATGTTGATGGTTTGTTCAAGCTGAAGTTTTTATAAACGGGCATTTCCCATATTGATTGTCAGCTAGTACATGTAAAGTTGTAGAAGAAATTTGTTTGAAAAAAAACAAGTTTCATGATTAATCGTAAACCTATACAGCCTATAATGATTGCGTCACATCCCACTGTGGTTATGAACCTACGTGTGTGTGTGACCACACGTAGATAAATAGGAGTAATCGTGATTTGCAAATAATGGTATCTGAACAAGGGCTACAGTAGTTGCAAAAACAAATAAAATGAAATGACCAAATAAGAATACCTGATAAACATCTATCTTCTATTGCTAAACACGGCTGAAACATGTCATAAGATTTGTCAGCCTTTGTGGTTTTGTAAAAAGATGCTCAAGGATGTATATTAGGATGCACCCTTACAACAGCTGTCAGCGTGTCAAGGTTAGTGGTGGAGCTACGTAACACATATACCAACCATCTCAGTTGATAGCCCCCAAATGCTCTGGTACGGCCGACGGTAGGGAAAATCAGCCCTCCCTCTCGAAATGCTCTCGTATGGCCACGCGTATACAGCCACTGCCAGGGAATTCCTACTCAATACCTCGCGGCGCGGGTGTTGTTTACGAAATCGAGAGGATGAAAGGCAAATGTTCAGCGTCGTAACAGGAATAGTGTACACGAAGGGTCCACTTACGTGAGTTAAAAACCCTGATTCCAAACCAATGGTGTACATGGGCTCCAGGATCCAGAGGGAACCAATTATTCGCCACCGGCCACCATGAGATCTCATCTCCTAATATTGCTCTACTGTCCTGTAGGTCAGACCTTTAAGTCGAAGGCTCCGGATGTGGTCCCCTAAGAAAACCACCTGTTTCTGTTTGAACGCCCGAACAGTATCCTAGCCCATACACAAATCGAATGAGATTTGTGTGGTGCATATGTATCTGGTGCCCCCTTGTGCCAACATTTGTGTTCAAATAAATATCAGTTGATAACGGTTTACTACTTCGTCAAGATATTTCCCATCCTCACCACTACACTATTCTTAGCCCAGGCACTACTTACTCAATGGACCTAAACTACACGAGCAATTCTTCGAAGACACCTATGATCGAATACTAGTAACCTACGAATATCCTCTACTCTTAATAGCCACGTTTCACAACTATGAAGTTCGGTGGATTGAAGTGTTGTACGCTAAACTTGTGCTTTTGTTGGCAAACGGATGTCCCACCTTCGCCACAAGCGACGCAAGTTGACAAAGGCCAATCGAGCTTTTTGAATCCATGCCGGGATTTCGTCAGACACCAACCCATCGGGACTAATGAGACTCTCATGATAAGCGGACGGTAGAAGCACCCTACTCTCCCACTTACTATTATTAGTTCAGGCCCTGATGCTGTCCAGTCTTGAAGCAACATTTGACATTTTAAGTGAGACAATCGGATCCCAAAAATGTTGGTGTTGCTCTCTAAGGTGGTCAGAAGACCCAGCATTTTGTCAACGTCTTCACCAAACAAAATTATATCATTTGCGTATTCTAAGTCAACAAGTGAATCTCTTAGTGAAAGATGAGCTACTGAAAAGTCAGACGATGAGAGCATTATATCTTAACAGACATCTATGACAAAGTCAAATGAAAATAGAAAAAGCAGACAACACATCTTCAGCTTTTGTTATCCACGACTGCCCATGATCATTGAGTAGCCTTTTCATCAATCTGCGATCAGGCTGCCTCCTCTCCTTATCGTTTTCAAAGCTTGATGAAACCGAGAACCGATCAGTTACGTAGACGCCAGAGAAATCCAGTGATTTTTCTTAAACTGGTTCTAATTACTGTTAGATAACACTGCTCATGTGTTTGGTGATCGTGTCAAGCTACCTCGGGGTGGATATCACTTTCATGCCTGATTAACTCCTTTAGTTGTTCTTGGAAAATATTGATTTTTTAATCATCAAACTGAACTCCATGTGGTGGAAAATGAGCCGAACGTAAAGTATGAAACAACCGGCAGAAAGATGATTAATCCTACTGTGACATTTCGAGCCATACCTAAGATCTTTCTAGAAACTATGATTATTATGTCTAAAAAAACGTGGCCAGGTGTGTTATTCATGCGAAAGTTGATCATAAAATATGTATAAAAACCTATCTCAATATGATAATAAACTGAATATCACTTCAGTTTTAAGCTTAGTAACTATGATGCTCATCACCATTAAGAATGAGTAAGCAATTACTGAAGCGTCTAAGGACCAGATCCAAAAATATTTTGGCCACATATCGCGTTACATTATGACTAGGTCTTCGTAACGAATGAAACAAATTGCACTCATGCGTGATGACATAGTTTAAAGATCACCACGTCATGGTGGAATTCATTGCTCGATTCACAGTAATTAAACTCCGTTCCTTTACTTGTTAGTAACCTAAGTCGTTGCATTTTTCATAGCAGATTCTTTGGTTTGTTTATCTGCCGTTTACTAGTTCAAACAGTCATGATCAAATTAGTGAAAGTTTTTTTCGTTCTAAGTGAGAGCCAAAGTATTTTTTGTACTTGTATTATTTTAAAGCTTTTTTATGTCAAAAAATTATTATAATTATCATCACAAGGAGTTTTGTGGAGATTTTAGTAATTTCAGCAGTTGAAATCATGAGTCAATTAAAGCTAGACCACCATGGAAATCGTGGAAGCACTAGACGGCCGTTTCGTCATAGTATGGGACTCCTCATCAGTGCGCGTCCAGGATCCCGCCCCCGCCGCGAGATTTGAAAACTTGACCTATCAGTCTCGCGCGCGAAAGCTTAACCATTAGACCACTAAGCCGGTATCCAACGGTGTTAATGTCTAACTTCAACCAATCCACGAAATTGCGCCACCGTACACCATTGTCTTCAGTGAGCTAATATCTCACAACAAACCTGGTTAAACTCCACTGGTCACGGTTTCCCACTGCAGTTCCAGGACTGATGATCTTGGTAATCTCGGCTCGTATGACGCAAAACTGTTGCATCACTACTCTCATTTTCAGCGAGATTTTGCACCAACTCTTGGATTTAGTTTTCTGTTTGTCTTAAATCACCATTTTACGTTCTCATGCAGTGCTCAATAAATAATGACCAAAATTTGTGAGACGATTTACTTAGGCCGAATTCATAAGTTATTGTTTTATCTTGATAAAATATTGATACTGCTACTGATATGGCTATTGGTTTGACTGCGTATGTTTACGATTTACGGTATCAGTTGATTGACTGCTTTCATTAAGAAATATAACTAAATTAGTGAGTTACACATTTGCTTTTTCTCGGTAGTAATATAACAATATTGCTGTATCATTCATGATTTCTAACCTTATGGTTGTACCTTATATTTCGGTAATTATTGAATTATCTGCAGATTTTTATATGATGTTCGTCTTTAGTTTTATCACCACAATATCAATTCAAGACTGTCACTATATAAGTCGGAGTTCGGTTGCCGAATAAATAAATTTAGTGAGTAGAACATAAAAGTACAGAATGTATTAAATTAAAATAAACATCTATACATATGTATCAATGAAATGCTTTTTTACAATGCTGTTTAGAAGATTAAAACGCTTATTGCTCTGTATTTTTTTCAAAATCGTATCGTCGGTCATAAGTAACCTGAGGACCTAAATCAAATTTGCATCTGTTCAATTTACCATACTGCATCACTGCAGAAAATTCAAATTATAAAAATAAAAACTGAACTAGTAGAAGATTCATACTAAAAATGTACTGTTAGCATGTCATCTTCGGTTCATGATCACATAAATTATGGGGTCGAATCGTTTTTGCTGTTGTGCGATTGCTATGGTTTTAATATATATATCTTATATGTAACTTCATTCCTATCAAAAGTCAATATTTATTTCTTATCCCGATTTGTCAACTTATTAGTTAGCCGCGCTTCGTTAGAGCTTAGTGTTCCCGTCACCTGCAAAATCCGAATCTTTAGTGACGTTGAGCGAACTGTTCAGTATGCAAAACTTCTCGAAGCTGCCGGGGCTTCTATGCTTACAGTTCACGGACGCACCAGAGAAATGAAGGGTCAAAAAACTGGACTTGCTGACTGGAATCAAATTAGGGCAGTAAAGTAAGTTTAACTAATTTCATACTAAATATATTAGTGTAAGATATATTTCAGTGTAGATATTTTTCTTACATTAATCATCTTTCTTTAAATTGTGTTAAGTTTTGGTGGCATGTAATAAGTGGTCTTGATTTTTATTGACTGTAAATACCCATACTTTATCGGTTATTTCTAGTTGAAACAATCCTTAACAAACCAAGTTAACTCAGACATACAACGTATAAAATGGCTAGTATTAAGAGTTATAACAAATATTAGTTTTTCCACCAAATAAACCTCTGTCAGTAACATCCTGTTTTAAATTGCTAGGTCAGTTAAGTATCAGTTGTGATCAAACGAAAAATGTCAATTCTCATATTTCTTATCTAAAGTTTATTTTGTCCTTTTTGCAAAAAATTTTGACATAAATGGTTTCCACAGTTACTTCATACAAAATAGTGGTCTCGAGTTACATTGTCTAAAGTTGAATATTTACATTAGGAATTATCTTATTCCATTCACCTTTCAGTGGTCGGGTTTATCTAATAAACACACATCATAAACCAAAATTTGGCTAATGCGCTATTTATCTGTCCTTAGTACAACCTAGTTGTGTTTTAATTGTGTATTGTATTTACTTTCACTGTTTTTCAATGTGATAATTTACTTTTTTCAGAGAAGCAGTAAAAATACCTGTTATTGCCAACGGAAATATTCAGTATTTGTCAGATGTTCATCAGTGTTTGGACTCAACAAAAGCCGACGCAGTTATGAGTGCAGGTTTCTGTCTATCCAAAATGTTATTTATTTCGTTTTCTGAAATGTATTTCTTTAAAGCTATAGTTCGCTAGTTTCTGGCACATCGTTAGGATGAAAATCGATAAACTACTGAAATGGAATTCGCTGACACTAAATTTTCTTTTACATATTACCTTCTAAAAATGAAGAATATTTGAGCGAACAATTGTTTTCAATAACTTCATCATCAGGCTCTACAGTTATAAGTTCATAATTATAATATATATAATATAATTATAATATATTACTTTCTTCTGGCTAGTGCTGGTTGTAATCCCCGTTTATCTCCTATTTGCTTAGTGTGTTGATGGATCTCAGCTCTAATTACTACTATCTCGGAATTAAATTCCTATGGAACGTACCACGTCCAATTTTTTTCCGATTTTATTCGACTGAAAATAATGTATTTTGATGTACCGTGTTTCCCATTTTAATCAACATGAACAGCTCTGTATTCATTGTCTCAAACACCAAAGCATAACTTAAGAGTGCGGAAATTCGCGCTATCGGCGTGCGTTGTATCTCCGATACATGCATACAAAATTCGAGTGTGGTAATCTATTTGAACACAACTCAATCAGGGCAATTTACCCTGTGTCTGGAGACCACACTAGTACTTCCTGTAATCTCACTCGTGCAGGTACAGCACTAGGTTCAAAAACAGGGCAGGACATCTCGGACCGGATTCTGCTAGATAGGCGCTTGTGCGTTGTCCGACTAAACAAGATAACGAAACTCGGGGAGATAGGGACACGACGTTGTCTCTTAATTGTGATTTGAACGAAGCGAAAACTGAGTTTTATGGGATGCTTTCTGCTCTTCTACGACAAGATAGACGTCCAGAGAATATATATTGAGTGCAATGCTTGATGTGTACCTTCACGTTTCGCCGTTCACTTACTTGGTTGACGCACTGTGATAGTTGTTGTGGGATTAGGCTTGAGAACGGATAAGTGTGGCCAATCAAAAACGTGTCACTAATCCATGAAGTCAACGACATTTGAACTGAACTATGCAGGTAGTTCAGCACAACCTGGTTGGGGTGCGCGGGATTATTATAAATACTGTTTAGAGACTTTGGATGATATGGCTCAGGTTCGTTCGCAATGGTGCAGGTGCATTCACATCTTCCCTTCATTTAGATCCTAAGTTTCTAAATTATTTTTTCCTTCACCTGTAGTACTCTGGGATTTTCCCTTATAGTATCATTTTAGTGTGCTAATGTGGTGTAGAATCTATGACTGGTGTACATACATGTCAGGTTCTACTGTGCGTATGGCTGACTGACTGACTAAATATTCTAGACGTGTAGAAAGTTGTCTAATTTAATATTCTAATTACAAATAAAAGACTAGATCAGCTGTCCCTATCATTTATCAATATATTTTTTATGTGCCTCACTTCTTTTAACTTTTCTTCCTTTTAGAGGGTCATCTTCACAACCCGGCCTTATTCCTAGGAATTCAACCATGTATCTACGACATGTGTTTTGAATATTTGGACTTTGTGGAAAAGTACCCAACGACCATGCAAATCATCAGAGGACATATCTTTAAACTATGTCATCACGCGTGAGTGCAATTTGTTTCATTCGTTACGAAGACCTAGTCATAATGTAACGCGATATGTGGCCAAAATATTTTTGGATCTGGTCCTTAGACGCTTCAGTAATTGCTTACTCATTCTTAATGGTGATGAGCATCATAGTTACTAAGCTTAAAACTGAAGTGATATTCAGTTTATTATCATATTGAGATAGGTTTTTATACATATTTTATGATCAACTTTCGCATGAATAACACACCTGGCCACGTTTTTTTAGACATAATAATCATAGTTTCTAGAAAGATCTTAGGTATGGCTCGAAATGTCACAGTAGGATTAATCATCTTTCTGCAAACCCCGAGCTGCCGGTTGTTTCATACTTTTCGTTTGGCTCCTTTTCAACGATGTTTCGTGTTCAATTTCCAACTTCGCTTGGTGTTATTTATACTCTGCTCATCAACTACTTACGTCTGTTACCCATCATGGTGGAGCCGAGGCTGCCAACTATGACTCTTCAACTTTATTCTGGGCTCTTCCTAGTTGTTTCTGGTTACTAGTCATTCTTTTGATCTCTGCCTTCGCTTCCCGATGCAATGTGTTCCTGGGCCTTTCTTTTTCCCTTTCGCTTTCAGGATTCCAAGTTAGGGCTTGCTTCATAATACATTTTGCTGGTTTCTTCGATGTACTTCGTATCCACCTCCAGAGTCTTTCCCTGATTTCCTCTTCAGCTGGAAGTTTGTTTGTTCTTTACCATAGTACGTTGTTACTGATGGTATCCGATCAACGGACATTGAGTATCCTGCGTAGACAATTGTTTATAAATATCTGTACATTTCTGATGATGATTGTATTATTTTATTATCTCATACTTGGTGATAAACTTCAAAAACTTCTCACTTATAATTAATTCAATTTTCTCTTCTGAATACGGTTTTAGTACATGATTATTTAGTGTTCTAACCAAAACCCCTTTGTAGTTTATTGGGCAGAAATCATTGAAATCTAAGTAAAGCCCACCACAAATGCCTTTCCGATGAATGGATCCTTCTTGACCATTTGAATAGGGCTGAATACCAATATCAAGAAAATGAAATTTACTATAATATTCATTTATAAGCACAGTTATTGTGTTAAAAAAACAGCATAATTTTGGTATTCGCCCATGGTTACTTACACTAAATCCAACACTCAGTCAACAAAAGACAACCTTTGTGCAAGTTCTATAAATCACTATCCAATTTTAACTCGTTTTCGAAGTCATGGATGTTGAGAGGAATGTAAGTTGGTTTTAAGTACTCATTAACTATTTCTTATTGGCGAGTCGAAAGAACAAAAATCGCTACAACAGGAAGATCACCCCTGTTCATAGTGTAGTCACGTCTTTGTACTAAGTACAACAGACTAAGCAGTGAATTTTAGGAAAATGACCATTATTTTTGCCAACTCTTAAAAACAAGTTGTATTTTTATCACTAAGGATTACTTCTACTGGACGTGGCGTAGCCAATTGCTAATATCTGTTGTATAGGTTTTTATTATCTTACATTAGTGTTCAGCCACAAAGTCCTTTCTCTTCAGTGATTTGCATCTATGTAGATGAACAAACGTTTAGTTTTTCTAGGAATCTTAAACTTTATCGTTACTTTCTTTGACAAATAGATTGGACGAACACTCTGAATATCGTTCACTAATTGGGTCTTCTCAATCAACTAAGGGAATAAAAGAAATATTACAAAAAATGGCAAATCACTGTTCAGTAAGTAAATCGTTTTTGGAAATTAGTAGTAGTTTATCCCAACTCACATATCCCTAATGCAATGGACTGTTAACCATATATTAAATAAGACCACAACCGAAGCAAACAATTTCAATAGTGCATGGCGAACACATATCAAAAGTAAAAGCGAAGTTTAGGTAATAAAAGAATCCCAAAAACCTCACAGTCCATGATCACGAAAATGTTTTGTTACTTTGTTACTACTTTATCTACTTATGCCTGATATTGTCCTTGGAGCATAGTCCGCTAACCACGAGTTTCCAACCCATTACTTTTCAGCTTTTGCTAAACTCTATTTATTGTCTTGATATCCGCCTCTGATTCCCGGAGCCATATATCATCTGGTCTGTCTCTTCTTTCAACTTGAGGATTCCGAGTTAAGGCTTGATTTTTGGTGCAGTTTGGTGGTTTACGTAAAGTGGATTCTATTCACCACCAACATCTTTTCTCACTGGTCCCTCAACTAGAATCTGGTCTGTTTTCTGCTAGCGTGGGTTATTGCAGATGAACTCTGACCAATGAATATGGAGTATCTTGCACAGATAGCTGTTTATAAGTACCTAGACTTTTTCGATGATGGTTGCGGCATTTCTCCAAGTTTCAGCTCCGTACAATAGAGCTGATTTGACGTTAGTGTTGAAAATCCTGACTTTAGTCTTGACTAACAGTGTTCTTGAGTTCCAGATAATCTTCAATCATAGGAATGCTACACTTGCTCGGTCGGTTTGTGCCTTTACATATATATCAGATTCTCCTTGTTTGTCAGTTATGCTGCCCAGGTATCTTAGGTTTCCCACTTCTTCGAAAACTTCACCATTAAACAAGACTTGAGTGGCACACGCCGTATTGTGTTTCAGGATTCGTTTCTTCCCTTATAAACGTCGAGGCCTACTTCGGACGAAGCCTATGCTACACTGGTAATTTCAGTCTGGATTTTTTGCTGTGTATTTGGTAGCAAGATCAAGTCATCTAAAAATTCCGAATCATCCAACTGCGTACTGTATTCCGCGCTTTTCCTAAGATGTAAAGGTCTTCATAGTCCAGTCAACAGCTGGTAGAGAGGTGAATGTGGACAGTCTCATTTGACATCAGTGCGCACTTGGAATTCATCCATAAGCTGCCATTTATACATGACTTTGTAATTTTGATCTGTCGTAAAAAAAATCATGTGGTGGTGACCATTTTCTTAGGTATTCCATTGGGCTATCCTATCTACACTATGGAATGCTTTCTCATAATCAAGAAAATTGATGCAAAGGAATGACTTTCATCCAATGAAAGTCAGCTTGTGGATCTCTGAATTGAGCATCTACTTAATAATATTGGTAATAATATACGTATTGACGCACAACCTCACTATAGGGTCTGAGTTTTGTTCAATTTTAGGATTTATTGGAGGATATCATACGTTCATAATGACGATATAGAAATGTGATTTTGGGGTTTTGTTATTGTTTATACTGCTGTGAGAAATCTATGTAGCTCTTTGTACGCATTTGTGCGGAAAAATACTGCTATCTACGAACATTTTTTTGAAAACACTTGGGTATACCATCCATGTCTCTTTGTACCAGTTCATATCACACGGTGATATGTCTCACACTCAGTGTTGTCCATGCATCATGCTTCTCTGGATGGTATCAGCTCAACTTCTTGCTTGTGTGGAATACTTTGTTCCCCATAACCAGAATACAATAACAGCTCTCCTGAAGTTAGTCTTTTTTGCCGGGATTAGGTCTGGTGGGTCTCACTGATTACGAGCATAACCAGGCTGTATTTTATTGGTTCTGCGACTATTTAAGTGACCATCCAGGTTTCTCACGTACACGTGTTTATTGTGACCTTGGTTGTCAGAAATGGCATCGAACTTGTATCTTTCGAAAAATCTTGGCTTTCGCCATAAGGCATTATAACTATTCTATCCAACAACCTTTCGATTCCAAGAGCAGAGTTTAGTTGATTTTTTCTGTTTAGCATTATTTAGCGAGATGAGGCTGATAACCATATGCTCAACCCTCTCCCGATACCCGGTCTAGGACCAACAGTAGCTATCCATAGGGGCCTCAGGCCTTTTCGCTTCATTGAACGCTCTGATTTACTGATAATGGTTGATTTTTTTTATTTCAATGCCTATACCTTACTTTCCAATCCTTTGTAGCACTAAAATTGCGTTAATCAGGAATGGTCAACTATGTTTTCAACTATCTACAAATTTATTAATCGGTCGTGTGAACGCATCTATACCGTCATAAGTCCAAAATTATATTGATATAAATAAACTCAAGGTTCAGTTGTAGAATGGTGGCTAATTGGTTAAGTTCTATGAAAAACGATTTTATGGATTGCCGAACGGATCGTCGTTTGCTGAAATAAAAGAAAAAAACATTGCCAGTCGATTGACAACCTACAATGATACTATATGGCTTAGTGGAGGCTTTTCAAGCAACTGTATTATTGTCACAAACCCTCGGACAATGTGAAATCGAAGGAAAGATCACTAGCCAAAAGAATTGTTTTTTCATACAGTTAAGTGATGTAATCATATACATAACATGAACACAACTAACATCTTAGTGAGATATCATCGGTGATTTGAGGAAATTAGTTTGTAGTCCACTCACTCTCCAAATTATCAAGACCTAACTATTAGGACTGGTTCTTCTCTGCCATACTATCAACGGATCTTACTGCCAGTTTAGAAGTCCTTGATTTGAATCTCGCTCCGTCTACTTCCGTTTAGGCAACCTGGTAGATCGCCAGCCCCACCTCCACTTACAATGTGGCTCAAAACCAAGTACATGAATCTGTACGTGCCAAATTATTAATAACAGGATAAAAAGAACGGAAGTAAAGTATGTCATTCGGAAATAAAAGCCTCAGAGTTATGTAATAAATCGCGTTCATCTCTCGTAATGAAAGTATCTTACAATGAGCTATCTTATTAGCTTCATTTGGTTTCTTTTCACTGTGAAGTCGCTAATCTATATGTCCGAGTTTACGCTAAAACAGTTCTTTGCTTTCAGGGGAACTTGTATCTTGTTTTTGATCGAAGTAAGTCGAAAACATTTACAAAATTGGTTGATTACTTCTTTGTGTTCGACATTGATTTATAGTCGGCGAGAAACGGAGAAGTGCAAGAATAAACGAATTCAAGTTGAACATACGTACTCTTTTAGCAATAAAATGTCCACATACTATTTTCGGCTAGCTTTATATTCATTTTGACAGCGACATGTACACATTAGTCCTTTCGAGCATAATTAATTTCGTCTTATTTTTCGGTTTTGTTCGGGTAGTCTTGTGTGCGAAACAGTTCAACTGAATTACCTCATCCTCACTGGTTATGTCAACCTTATGAGCGGCCAATTACATTTTCGGAACAAGCGAAAGTTGAAATCTCGATGCAAGCAATTAATGGATCGGATTTTCACAGTGTTGACAGTGACGTATCTGCTAAAAAAATTATGTTAATGGAGCAAAGACGTAGTCGGAAAGCTTCAAAGAAAGAGGTTAAACTTGCTAAGAAATTAGCAATCGTTGAAGGAAAGCTCATATGTTTTATTTGCAACAAGAATCGGAAAGTAAGTCATGTTAGTGATAGACTTCTGCATTTAGAAATTATTTGTGAGTTTAGTGGAAGTATTGAGTTTTCTCATGCTCTTTGAAAGCAGTTGATTCGGATAATTTTTTGGGGAGCTGAGAAAGGCTATTCTATAAAAATCCGACCACATATATTTAATTCTACTATAATATAACTATTTGCTTACATTAAAAAATAATGGTTTTTTTTTTCAAAATGCCTGATAAAAATGGATAATGGTTGTATGTTATTTGATATATAAAGCTAAGTAGTAGTAAAATTTTTATTCTGAGACGTGTTCCTCAAAACCTCAGACGCACTGTTGCATAACTGCTTTTGATGATGGAATATTGATCTCGTGTGATTAGATGTTAACAGGCCTATTGAAATGCATTCATATTGTGTATTGAACTTTAAGGGGTATGCTTAGGTGTGTTCGTCTCATCATGTTAATGGTGTTGTATATTCACAATTATACTTTTTATCCTTGTATTTTGAAATGTCTCCGAAGTCAAATGAATTTCTTTTTTATTACGATTTTAGAGTTTAAACTGTGCCAGATCAGTTTGCCGCACATGTTGTCAAAGTCAAAGTGAATCAAGTTTGAATTCATTAACGAATACTTTTTGTTCATTCCATCACCGTCAAATAAATAATGCTATATTAGATTAGTAAATTTTTCTTTTCACAAATGACATTGTTTTGACACGTTAATGATGGTCATAGCAATTGTGTGTATGTTCTCGATATTCCTGTCCCATCCACTGATGTGAATGAATGTCAGAAATATAAGTTTAATGTTATGGATTAGTCGGGTATCTAGACCCCTCATGTTATGTGTCTTTCCAATTCTTGTCCAATATCAAACTTCCTTATTTTTATAGAAATTAACACTGGCCCATATTTTTTTCTTTAATTTTTCGCAACACATTTCAAGTTTAGTCTTGACTTTACAATAATATGCTCTCTAATAAAATTTATGTAATTATTCACTCCTATCGTATATTGTATCTATAACTTAAGGATTAACATTCATCAAAATGGGTCGCTTATCGAAAAAACGAGCCCGAAAATGCTTTAATATTTTGAATAATAGCAACTCTGTTATTACCCCGGCTTAGCGACTCCTTTTCCAACCGAGAACGTTAGGATTGGACTTAAGTTACGTATGCCGCTGGTTAACTCAGTATCTAATTTACTTACGAGTTCCACGTTAAGATGCCATAGCATAGGTAATATAAAGAGTGAATTAGACGGTATATATGAGCAATTACGCGATATGCGTCCTAAAGTGGAGCTACTTGCGGGTTCTCCTTTTTAAGCAAGAAATAAAGACTATCACCACTTCAGCTACTATTGGCGAGGGGCGTGGTTCCTACTAATCTTGGAAACACTGATAAAACAGTATTTGTTATTGATTCTATTACTAGCCAAGTTACCAAGCTAATTACTAGAAATAACGTGACTTTCTACCACATACGTGACGAAATCCCACTTAAATTTATTTTTTCGATACTGAACACATCCAACTCTCAGGATATTCCGTGCCTTATTTTATTTAGATTCGACTCACATTTAGCAGCTGATCAACTGGTCAATTTAGACACCTACGAAGTTCTGGAATGCTCGCATAGTCTCAGATAAAACCACCAGTCAAAGGCCTACTCAAAAGCTTACCTCAAACGAGAATGATATAGAAAATACGATGAATCCTGCAAACATATCAACAGGACATACCTGTGAGACTGACATTGTCTGTCAGTCAATACTCTGATTTATCAAGGGAGGATGCTAAATTGTCACTGAAGCCTGTAGCAACCTCAGATAACCAGTGTATTATACCTTATGTAGAAATAAATCTTGAACATTCTGATCTGATACCTCCCAATACAACAGTAGAGCGCATATTCAGACGTCTAATCCTAACGTGTGAGCTCTTCGAAACACTTAGAATTTATCAGTCTAAACCATATGGAAAGTATGTACAGAAGTGTTCAGTTTCAATATCAGTACCGAAAATATTACAAAGGCTCAACCAAATACAAATACACTTCGAACACCAGGTTTTACCCTTCTAATCATGCTTCCGTTAACTATGAAGTATTCAGTCGCGCCAAGAGAATCGGGCTTTACACGGGATTTAAAAAGCCGAAGTATTGATAATTCTGGGCTTTTACTGCCTAGGGCTTTATTGTCTATATTCATAAAATACTTGCGTTTAGATGAAGCGTTTCTGCCGATTAAGGTAAGTATACTCTGAAGTGCATACACGTCATTATGCTCGTAGTAGCGGTGTTTTAATCTCCTCACCTTTCTTATAAAAGTATTCTGGCCCCTATTAACATCATAAGCCACATGGCCAATAATTGGAGCAGTGCAGTCAAGGAAAATATCAGGTTGTGGTATAGATTACAAAGCGCAATGTCAATATTATTTGTGGTAAAATAAGTTCCTCATGGTATACACTGAATAACAATCTCAGTCCGTAGCCAGGTGTTTTGATCATAATGTCTCCTCTGGTGGTACATCATTGAAGCTTTAGGGTTCAATAGTATGGCGTTTAAAAAATGGATTATACTCAATAAAACTCTATGATCACTCATAAAAAACTCATGACTCATATGCACTGAGATAGTCTATGTTGATTGTAAACAATAAAACAAGTATATTATTCCCCCTAGTCCGTTTTCGTATCTGTTGAACCCATCCACAAATTTCTAGTGTTTCAACTGGCTTGTTATACCTACCTGGTACCTGAGTCGAACCACATGTAATTTTGGGCAGATTAAAATCACCTCCGATGATTTTAAAGGTATGTGGTTGGTGCGAAGCAATGAAAAATATGTTTGTTAGTAATCTGTCAAACTTAGTATCAGCATGAAGTGGTCTGTGCATGAATCCCAACAGTAGATAATATTGAGATCCACAATTTACATTAACCCAAGTGGAGTCGTCTATAGCATCAAGAGATTCATCCTGCAATTTGCACGCCTGAATGTCTGAACGGACATAGATAATTGTACCGCCTCCTAATCCATAACATCTATCGGTTCTAAAGAAAACGAAGTTGTCTACATTCAAGGAGTGATCGGATATAGACGAATTGCACCACGTTTCCATAATAAATACAACGGTTAGATTTACAAAGAATAAGAGGGTTTCAAAATGGGTAATTTCATTGGACAGAGAGCGGGCATTGGACAAAAGAATAAGGAACAATTATCAGGGTGAAGCAGGTTGAAGTATAAGTCGCAATTGGTAGTTCCATGAATGGTCGTAAGATTAGTTAAGATAAGAGTTGTGTTGCGAGTGAAAATAGATTCAACAACGTGATCACCATTTGAAGTATGTTTACCGTTGACATTGGATGCTGACCATAGGTTTTAGTGGACTCATCTAGCTGAAGGCGCTCGATCATGCATCCGCCCCAGATCACGAGTAGAAACGCCGTGCTCAACATCTCCTGCAATCGCTAGCCAGTGTAGGGCAATCGATCCTCGACATATTGATAGCCTATCAAATGCATCTTCGAACCTCCTCACTTCTGTCTTTTGATTTCACTTGGTGGGTACGATTCATAGTAGAAAGTGTTACTGGTTAAAGCGTTGTCAAACTTCAAATACCTGTGATATCTTCTACATCCGTTCGGTTTAGTACCTCTCTCCGAAGTTTCACATCATTCGCAAAAAGCAATAAGTCAGACGATACCTGTTGTGGAAGATTGTTTATATAAGTCAAGAAGAAAAGAGATCTTAGTGCTGAACCCTGGGGGACCCCACTAGAGCATTCCATAGCCTGAGATAAAGTGAAGTTAACCTTGACCTTAAAATGTCGGTTTTTTGGATATGAAGTGAGCCAGTCAATTAGAGGTGATTTGATACTCAGTCGTTTGAGTTTATGGATAGGACATATATGGTTGACCCTATCGAAAGATTTACGGAATTCAAGGTAAGTCACTCAACCTTCCCCGTGCGATCAAGGGTGTTTGTCCATCTGTCCACCGCAGTCAGCAGGTCGGCTATACAAGAATGACTTTTCCTGAAACCATGGTGTTGGGGTGAAAAGAGGTTTAATGATAATAAATAGTCGTGTATACCGTCGGGGACTCCACAATTTTCGAAGGTATATAGAAAAGGGCCACTGGTCGGTAACCTGAAGGTTTGCCGCGTCGACCACTTTTGAAAATTGATGTGATGTGATCCAGCTTTCAAATTTACGGTAGTTTGCCTCGGCGTAGCGCGTATGTGAACACCACGCAAAGCGGTGTTGCCAGGATTGAAGTTGCTTCCCTCAGTATAGCTAAATGAACCATATTCGGGCCAGGAGAAGTGTTTATTCTTAGGTGCTGCAGTTTCCGGTACACCAAGTCAGCGCTCACGTTCACTTCGGAAAGTTCTGTGCAGTTGCAGATGAAGCTCTCATCAATATAGTTAATATGGGTCAGTTGAAATGTCCGAGAGTATTGTTCAGTCAAAAGTTTGTGTCTTAACTTGCATGATTTGGTGGTGTCCACGTAAGTGAGTAATCTGTTGACGTCTGGAAACCCAAATAATGTCATTTAAAGCGTTTCAATTTCGCCATTTTTATTTTTTTAGTGGAAACATTGGATTTATTTTTCAGTTACTGACCATTGGAACTCTGCCATTATTCGCTGAAGATCAGATTTAATTTCAAAAATTGCGTCATATCATCAAGTACATTAACATGCAATTATAAGGACTATTAATTTACTTTGGCAAGGAAGTGTTAGGCACGAGTGATCAAGCCTCCATTTCGTGGAATGTTTTGGTCGGTATAAGTGGACGGGTTAGACGGCTGATTATGAATGAACTGTTATTGTTTAAGGATGACTTCCAGAAGGCAGCTAGTGGATTTCGTCTCATATGATAAGCATAGTTTTTTCCTTAGTAGACAACGTACACTCTTTATATACAATTGGAGAGATGTAATCATGCGAACTTATACTCAACACATAGGTGAGAACTGGGTTTCTTTAGTGGTATGCGATTTCGTCCTTCCTCATGACATCGATACGAATTATTAATTAGACATATAATGTCACGTACTTTCGATGTGACCGAGGATATTCAGTATGGAAATATTCTCCTACTGTTGGCTTATGGCGATCAGCTTGTTTTGTAATTCATATTCAGGACTCGTGACATAGTACACGATTAGAATAGACCTCGTCCAAGTTTGTGGAGAGCATACAAAATAGTCATACCGGAGTGTATTGCAACGAAAGACCGGTCAGTAAATACTAGCCTATAAATTAAAGATGCATGGCCCATATTTGAAGGTAATCTGAGCTTAATTATGTCCTCATTTATATCATACTTAATACCATGTAGGCCTATTAACTGCCCACCATGAATAACCAAAACGATCAAGAAACGTCTTAGACGTAGAAAAGAGAATGGAGTATTATTCTGTACATGCTTTGAGCGGTATGGATCCATTGATTACAAGGCTAGGAATGCTTGCAAACAACTAAAGTGTATGATGTATTTACTTGTTTGAATGACAGGTCAGTTAAAAAAATGTACTTGAATGTAACCACCTGGTAGCGAACACTAGTGTGTGTTCTGCAATGAAGAGCGATTAATATGCAGTTCTTCATTTCTATGTGCAATAGAAGATGAGAACAACAAACAATGTTTCGATCTTTCTTT